GAGAACTTGGGACACTGTTTCCATTATTCACTGATGCTCACCTCCCATGCCTTCCTTGGGAAGTCTCTGCAAATGGAATATCACATACCCTAAAATCCTTAGTGGAAGCAAAATTAAATTTAATGTACTATCCCAGGATAATGAAGTTTCCTATTTAGCATAATTTTTTTTCTAAACCTGCAGAATTTACTAAGTGAAATCTGATAAGACAAGAAAGCCAGACAATACTTATATACTATGTTTATAACTTGAGGGGAAATACCCAGAGTTCCATTGCTAGTATTTACTCCTCACCCTCTGCACTGACAGAGCCTGAGATGAACAGAAAACATCTGTTCAGGGTGACGTCACTGTTCCTCATGCCTCGCCTGCCTTGCTGAGGGTATCCCAGCTTTCTGAAGCTTCCTCCTCAGAATCCTGGTCAAAAATTTGATTTTATTTTAATTAATACTAATATTTTTAGTTACTGTGGACCACCAAAAATCCAAGTTGGAAACTAGGGCCTGTCTGGCTAGGATGATGTATTTAATTGTTATTTTATTTCCCAGTAAAGGCTTTCTTTGACTAGAATAGGGATTCTGTGAATGGTAGGAAGTGCTGTAAGAAGTTGTGCCCTAAAAAAGGGAGGGAAGATACTTTTAATCCCCAGGTAGTTCCTTGGATGGCTCCCCTGCCACACACATACCCCCTCATGGACCTCCCTGCCAGAGCTGAGAGCACTGCTGGCTGGTAGGGCTCCCTCTGAAAGGCTGGCACATATTAAGACATGGTTCCTGGGAATCCAGTGACTTCAGGTTCCATTTCCTTCCTAAGAGAACACTGAGCATGACCCCACAGAGCCACTAGGGTAGAGCTGCTTCCTTATGTAAAGAACTACCCAGCCTCTGTCTGAAATGACCCGACAACCAAAGATGACCAAGTCCGATTTGCAAGTTTGACATAAAATAAAGCTTTCGATCCACCTAGACAGAAACATTTTGATTGAAAGCCATGAAAGTCCTCCAAACAGGTCTCTTTAAAACAAAGAAAGAAAAGAATCCCCTGGTGACCCTGAATCTCTAAGAGAACTGCTTTCTAAAGAGTCACGTTCTGAGTTGCCAGAATCCCTTTTCCTTTGACCTGCCTATCAGTGTTCTGGGGAACTGTCTCTTCAGGTGCATGCTTTGAAGTTACTTAAATTTAGTTTTTAATTTTAAATTAACATATGTTTGTGCAAAAAAATCAATTCCAACTGTACAAAGGCGTCAAGTAAATTCTCAATGACATTTTCCCACAGTCCCTGCTACACATTGCACATCCCACTCCACCCCAGCCTCTTTCCGTGGCTTCTCAGCTTCCTGAAATTCCTGAGAGCTGGGTGTTAAGTTTTGTTTTGTTTGAAGAGGCCTGTGCAGTCCCAAGTGAAATGATGCAGCCCTCCAAGGAGTTAGGTCAGGCAGGGGGGTGTAATTTAGGAAGGGGGCTTCTCACTCATCTTGGTCACCTGTTCTAGGCATGCATCTTGGATAAGTCCCCTATAGCTAGCTTCTGTCCTACCAGGAAAATGGAAGCAACTCTGACTTAACTCTTACATTTTCAGTGAAATGGAATGAGCAAAGAGCTTTCTTCCCTGAGATGATGTCCTGATCGCTATAGCAGCTAACAGTCACCTGGTGGAGTGGTGGTGGGGATGCCACGCCAAGTACTTTTATATGTATTATCTCACCCAGTCCTCACGACAAAGTGGATACTGTTATTTCTCCCTTTTCACAGATGATAAAATTAGGATAGGACCTCTCCAATATAACACAGCTTGAGGTGACAGAACATTTGATAGAACAAAGGAGGAACTGGCACAGGGACATTGCATGACCTCCCAGAGGCTGCATGGCTAGTCAATGGGGAGCATGCTCACTTCCAGCTCTTTTCTCCTCTCAGAGGTCACTGCAGGCCAACTAGCTCAAAACAGACTTGATGAGTGTCAGTCTTCTGAAAGAGTCATTACTGAGTCACCAAATGCCCCTTTCTCAAATGGGAGGTGGAAGAAAATGGAATACCTCACAATCTCACAGTCTTCTGGGTTCTGGAGAATAGAGTTGAACTCAATCTTTTTTCATGTGCTAGGCGATGTGAACGAGCTGATGGATGTGGTTTGCCACCATGTTCCAGAGGCAAAGCTGGTGGAATGCATTGGTCAGGAACTCATCTTCCTACTTCCAAATAAGAATTTCAAGCAGAGAGCATACGCCAGCCTTTTCAGGGAGCTGGAGGAGACGCTGGCTGACCTGGGGCTCAGCAGTTTCGGCATTTCTGACACTCCCCTGGAAGAGGTAACACAGATATTCCAGCTGGCTTCTGTCAGGTGCCAGAAGAGGCACTTCTCTGTGAAAGTCTAACACTATAGTGAAGTTTTATAGAAGCAAAAAGGCATAATTCCCCACCCAAGCATGGCAACTATCCTCATTTTTAGCTTACTTCCTCCTGCTTCTGTCCCATGCATACATATTTTACGTAGTTGTGCTCCCTGTATGCTTGCATTTTTGCATTTATGGAGATTATGTTCTTGAATCAAGACCATATTGCATTTTTTTTCCCATTATGAAGCAATACCTGACAAAATGGACCCTGGTTAGATTTTTCTGAGAGTAGGAATGCCTACCAAATTCTCTCTTTTATTTCTTGACAGATTTTTCTGAAGGTCACAGAAGATTCTGATTCAGGACCTCTGTTTGCTGGTATGGTATTGGGGTATGTGGCTTGCCACTCTCTTCCCCACACCCAGACTCTGTCTTGAAAGTCTAAAGGAAAAGTCACAAAACAGCCACACACACAAATTCTCCTCTATAGTGTTTGACCCCCAAATAACAGGCATTTTGTATTCTTGGTGCCTTGGGATAACAAAGGAATGAGAGACTGAATTAGGCCTGGATAGGAACATTCCAGATGAATCAGGGTTCTCATGGAGGTCAGATTGGTAAATTTCTCTCCAAACTTATCCTACATCCTCAGCCTCTTGTTCTGCCATGTGGCCAGACTCATCTCTCATCCACCAGGTCTCTGATCCATTCTTGTTGCTTGAGTGACAGCTAGCAAAATCCTTTGAGATAATGGTGACTGTTAATACAACCCAGATGCCAGCTAGATTCCTCTGGTTCCTGAGAGATAAAGACAAAATCACTGCAAACCCTCAGTTGGTGGCATATGGACTTTGAAAATGTGGGGACCAGAATTCCTGTGAATTCTGGGATACCCTTCCACATGTGTAAGGCTGGAATCCTTCCATGATTTTTAACCAAACCCCGAGATCACAAGAGGCATTGTGGGTGGAGTAGGTTCCACTGCAGACGAGAAAGATGGAGAGATGGAAGTTCAGGGGAGGTGACTTGTCTGCCCCAACACAAACCACCTGTGATAGAACAAGAAGCATCCACCTGGGCTTTTAAAGCTCTCTTGCTAGACCCCCTCTCCTGTTCACAGGCAAAGATGGCCAGCAATTCTCCTTTGCTGCCTTGGGCTCCTGAGACTACCTGTGCCACTGCTTATCCCCTCCTACCCAGAGTGGCACATCATGGTGTTTTCCCACGTACAGTATTTCCTCCTAGTAGGGGTTCTGGTACCAGTTTGTATGGTAATATGGTTTTCAACTTACTTCTAAGTGATCCCAAATGTTTATCCTAGTTTTGCCTAGAACTATGACCACACGTACCAGGCCATATATCATGGTCATCATGACACAGTGTGTGGGGAGGGTCTGTCCTATGGGGAGGAGAAGAGCAGCTCACCAGGTTTTCTTTGAGCCTTGTGGATACAGAAATTGATACACTCTACCCCAAAACAAAGACTTACATTAACCAAGATCAGAATGCAAATATGCTAATTTTTGTTAAAATTCATGCTGAGTTGAGAAGTTAGGGCCATTTATCTACACAGAATACTCCTCTTTAATACTTATTCTATTTGAAAATTGTTTGGTCAGTAAAGACTAGGATATTTCAAAGAGACAGTCAAGCGTAGAGATTAAGAGTGAAACAGGCCAAACATCAAACCTGAGCTCCATAATTTGCTAACTGAGTAGTTTTGGGTAAGTTCTTAGCCTCTTTGTACCTAAGTTTCGCCATCTGCAAAATGGGGATAATACTAGCACCTACCCTTTAGAGTAGTAGAGAGAATTAAATGAGATAATGCATGGTAAGTCTTAGCACCACATGTGATCTCTAATCAAGATAGCGACACTCTCATGTCAGCATCTACAAGTCATCTCCTACCTCAGACTCAAGTCACTCTTTATACTTGACAAGCACCTAATATCCACTGTGTTATTTGATTATCATCACAATCACATGAGGCAGGCAGGGCAGGGAAGCTGAGCTCACAGAGATTGGGTGACCTTCCTAGAGCCACACAGGCTTCTAGGTCTTACTCTCAAAGCTAGAATCCTCAGTTCTCTATTCTCACTAGCTGCTCCCTTACACACACACTTTTCAGATGGCTAAGTACATTTGTTTTAGATTAGCTCAGTTTTAGAAAATGACATTTTCTGATCTTGTCCCCAAAGTCTGAAGTAACCCAAAACACCAAAAGGTCAGTGCCATTTCTGAAAGAGTAGCTCAGAGCCAGAGACTACTGGAGAGCAACAGAAACCAGAGATGCTGAACAGGTCCAGAGCCCTTCAGCTCTGGTGGGGGGTGTGGGGGCGGGCATGGGGGCTACTAGGTTCCAGTCTGGTTGGGGCCATCAGAGGACTGAGATGAGTCAGGCAGCAAAGGGGAGAAGCAACAGGGATCCCACCCCTACAGAGATCAATGTGAGCCCAGGTCAGGAAGAGGAGGATGCAGAACTGAGACTCTGATGCCTGGAGGTCAGTGAACCTACAGAACTTCCCCACCTCTCTACGTGTAAGGGCTGGGGCTTCTTGTCACTAGGGCTGTCACATCCCAGGCCTGGTGCTTCATAGGTCCCCCATGAATGTTAGGCGAATGGATGACTGAGCTGATCCAACTATCTACAATTGCCCTTGTCCTGGGGAACTTGAGGCTGTTAAGAAAGTAGCTGGGGACCAAACAGTGGTCCTATAGACTCTCCATGTCCACAGCAGATGTTCTGCAAACAAACAGCAGTTAGTCACTATGAACTATAGATGTAAAGTAAATGGCAACTTGCATGGTTTATAAAGCACAGTTACATGTGTTATCTCATTTAATTTTCAAAGCGATTTTGTGACATGTTCTCATTTTCATTTCACAAATGAGAAAATAGATTCACGCAGATTGAGTCAGTTCCCCAAATGTATGCATCTTGTAAGAATCAGGATCACCCCCAGATCTGCTAACTCCTACTTCATTGGTTTCTCTACTTCTCAGTGCCCTCTAAGAATTCAGAAAGAACGAAGTTGACTGTAATTTAATTTTTAAGTACACTTAAAATATATTCCCTTAAGTAATAAGTGAATGTATTTTGTTGTTTAAAATTTTAAATACCTAAAAGACTGAAATTCTCCTCCTCACGCACCCCCATCTGATCCAGTGGTACCAGTGGTACCTCTGTTGACATGGTATGCATTCTTTTAGACAGTAGTTATGTGTACATGTACTTAAGATGTTATGAACTTTCTAACATAAACATAAACTTATTACACAGATCATTCTGCACCTTATTTTTTTTTGTACTAAGTTGTTTTAGATCTCTATATCAGTACATTCAGAGATATTTTATTCTCTTTAATGATAAAAGAGAATTTTCAAGCTACTTCAGGTGATTTTACCTGTTCAGAATCTACACTGTAAAATGGATTTTTAAAGATATTTTTAATCTGCCTGGTCCTGTATTTTGTTGCTGCTCTAGAATGAAGGGGAAATCAATGTTGCAAGAAAAATGGCACAAGAGGTCCAGATCTTGTCTGGCTTTCCAAATTAATAATTTGATCTCCCAAACAGATGGCACTCAGACAAAAAGGGAACATGCCAGCATGCGACATCCCTGTTTGGTTCCTAGTGAGAAGGCCCAGCAGGCTGCCCAGAGCTCCAGCACCTGCTCCCCAGTGCAGCCTCCCCTGGAGCCACAAGACAGGGGCACAGTGCTCAACACTGGTCTGCGGCTAGTCCTCCAGCACGTTCAGGCGCTGCTGATCAAGCGGTTCCACCACGCCACTCGCAGCCGAAAGGACTTCCTGGCCCAGGTATTCCCAAGGGCTTCTTCGGCTGTGTTCTTTCACTCTGCCCAGGACCCAACAGATTCATGGGTACAAACACAGCTCACAGCACCCTCTTTACATGCTGCCTACTTCTCTTTCTCCCTGCCAAACCTTTCTTTTGATTCAGAGCCATAAAAGCCTTCTTTATGAGAACTGAACCTCCCTCATCAAAGAAAATGAAATAGCAGTGAATATGCTACTATTGCTCTTCTTTATTACAGAGAAAGGCAAAGTCATGTTTTCACTCCTTTTTATAGTGACACTATGTATGTGCAGGTCATTCTCCTTATTTTTTTTTCCTGTTTTTTATTCAGAAAAAGAAATTCTGCTTCAAAGAATGGGGAGTCATGTGATTTGCTCTTTGAGTTGACCTTTAGCCTCTGGTTGAGCATTGCCTATATTCAGATTCTTTGATGGCCACAAGAACATTCTGTTTTCTTTTGCATATCCTGTCTTTGTACACCTTGCCTGTTCCCCCAGAATCCCATCTTCCATCAGGATCTGACCATGAGGCTGTGTTTATATCTCTCTACCACAGCCGTGTGTCCATGTGTATTCTCCCACAGATGGTGCTCCCAGCCACTTTTGTGTTCTTGGCTCTTGTGCTTTCCATCATTGTGCCTCCTTTTGGTGAATACCCTGCCTTGACCCTCCACCCCTGGATATATGGGCAGCAGTACACCTTCTTCAGGTACACAGACTTGTTCCCAGAGGTCACCATTATCCTCCATAGTGTGGAGCTCCTAGGCTACATGCTGCCTGGAAGGGCTCTGACTTCCTCACTTCCCCGAGATCTCCACCAATACAGCAGGGGTCCGTGGGTTTCCCTCAAAAGAAAAGTTAATGTACTGCCATTGCCTAGAAACAGAGAGTAAGAAAAGAGAATGCAAAGTGGGGAAAGTGAGCAGAGGAGCCATCTTTTTGAGGTGTAGATGGTCTTCTAGGTATATTCATGCAGCCCATCCCATTCCCAGGAGACTTACAACTATCCCTAGGCAGCATTCAGAGCTTTATGAACATGCCTGGCATGTAGTAGCCATTCCCTAAATGCTTTGAATTGAATGTGGGCTGGTTTTGTCCACTCTGTCACAGTCACGTGACCGCCAGGTAAGCCTCTCTCACTCTGTCTAGCATGGATGAGCCTGGCAGCAAGCATCTTCAGGTACTGGCAGACGTCCTCCTGAACAAGCCAGGTTTTGGCAACCGCTGCCTGAAGGAAGAGTGGCTTCTGTGAGTTCCTTTGCCCCCTTGTCCTGACACCATATCTCCCCTGGGAGCCTGGCAGTAGGGTCTGGGTTGGCAGGGATGGGAGAGACACCCTCAGTCCTGCTCTGTATTTTGTAGACCACTTCCCTGTTTCCAACCAGTGCTTACCCAGCCTCTCCTTTAGCATTTGTGTGCAAGGGCAGTCACTACCTCCCAGGTAGCTCCTGCAACATTGGAAAGCTCTGTATTTCTCAATATAAAAATTCCATATTGAGTTGATATATGAGTCCCCTTAATTTATTTGAAAGTCCTCTGAGCAGGGGCAGGAGGGAGATGGAGCATATGCTGTTGTATAAACTGTTGAAACTCACCAGAAATCCTAAAGGTTTAAATGTAATTTTGTGTGTGGGAGGGGGTGGGAGGAGGGGACTGGGGATTGAACTTAGGGACACTCAACCACTAAGCCACATCCCCAGCTCCACTTTGAATTTTACTTAGAGACAAGGTCTCACTGAGTTACTTAGTGTCTCACCGTTGCTGAGGCTGGCTTTGAACTCGTAATCCTCCTGTCTCAGCCTCCCTAGCCTCTGGGATTACAGGCGTGTGCCACCGTGCCCAGCTGGTTCAATGTAATTTTAATTTCTTCTCTTATTTAGTCTTTTTCAAAGCTTCAATAAGGAAAATTCCTCTTTAATTTGTTCCATCTCTCAATAGCTAGAGAAAATGCATGGCTCAGAGGAGTTGGAAAGGCTGAAAAGGAGAGGGTTGGGCACTATTTCTCCTTTCTAGGGATTTTTAAATCAACCTTTGAAACTGATTGTGGAATATCTTCTTGCTTTCCATGAGGGAATACCCGTGTGGCAATTCAACCCCCTGGAAGACTCCCTCAGTGTCCCCGAACATCACCCACCTGTTCCAGAAGCAAAAATGGACACCAGCCAATCCCTCACCCTCCTGCCAGTGCAGCACCAGAGAGAAGCTCACCATGCTACCTGAGTGCCCCGAGGGTGCCGGGGGGCTCCCACCCCCACAGGTACCCAGCACGGGAAGCCAGGGCCCCATCTGCCTGCAGTCCCAGGGATGAGGGTTGCTTATTACCTCCTGAGCTTCTATCCAAATAACATTTCAAACTGTTAAGTGAGCAAGGCTAGATCAGGGGGCTAAGCCAGCATCCCTGTGTCCTTCAGAGGTCTTTCCCAGAGGAACTTATCACTATGCCACCCAGAAGAAGTCACTAACCCAAAGCTTCATTTCCTACCAAACACTTCCTATTCAGTCCAGTATGGCCTCCTAGCTGCCTCGCAGAGAATAACCTTGGACAGCCCCTCTCGTGATTTATCAAAAATGAACAATCCTTAAAGAGGCAGTGTGGTACAGTGGGAAGAGCACAGGCATGAGGGTGAGGGAGGCCTGGGTTCATTACATGGCCTCTCAGAACCTTCATTTTCTCACCTAGAAATGCAAGAAAACTGTACTTATTTTGCATTATTATTATGAAGATTGAATGAAATAAGGTGGATAAAGAATTACTTAGAATTAGGTTCAGCTCAAGTGACGAAAACCCCAAACTAACAGTGGATGAAACAAGGCACAACTCTTGCCTGTCCCATGTGCACATTCATGTGGGTGGCCCATGATGTTCTGCTGCTCATCTATGCCAAGTAGGCCACCATAATCCTGGACAAAATGGCACTCTACTTTCCAGATAGCAGAATAGAAGAAGGGATAAAGATAAAGAGGGCAAAATGTGCAAATGTGTGCAAGGAAAACTTCAGAAGCTGCCACATAACATCTTCATTTACATGTCACTGGGAAGAACCCAGCAGCCAGGGAGACTGGGGCTAGAGGCTTTGTTCTAGGTTGTTCATTCACAATGAGAAAGGATGGAGCACTCCCACCTC